TATAGAAGAATTGATTATTTTAAACATCATGTTGAGAAGAACATTAAAATATCATGGACTTCCAGTAAACAACGTATCTCCAAATAAGTGCAGTCAGAACACTCCTTAAATATGAGGACAGCAAAATGTCATCTCTCCTACTTCAGACATGTATCAGAAGGACCAGTCCCTGGAGAAGAACATTTTTGTTGTGTTGCTAAGTGTTGTCAAGTTGGTTTCTACTCATATTGACTCTGTTTGGGTTTCCAAGGAGAAGCTAGTATGGTTGAACTGCTGACTTTGTGGTTAGAAGTCTAGTGGTTGGTTATCTAACAGCACCACAACTTGAGAAGGTTATTAGCCTTGGTAAAGTGGAGGGTCACTGAAAAACAGGAAGACCCCCAATGAGATTGATTGACATAATGGGAGCAACAATGGGCTCAAATGTACTTACAATTATGAGGATGGCACAGGATTGTTCAGTGTCTTGTTCTGTTGACTCCAAGTCATCTAAGCACAACATGAGAAGGAACTGACTTCGTTGTAGGTATGGGACTATGAGAGAAACATAAAATAAGAAGTACCCTTCTTTTTAGAAAAATAAAATCAAATCATATCAATAAGGATATTCAGCAGCACTTGCATTCCCCGGGTGGACAGATGGTTAATGGCATTTGACTGCTATTCAAAAGGTTGGCATGCATCTAGGGGTACCTTGGAAGAAAGGCCTGATGATCTTTGGAAAAGCCAGTCATTGAAAATCCAAGGGAACAGTGTTCTACTTTAACACAGATGGTGTCAGCATGTGTCATAATCAAGGGGAACTGGTTGTGCTTGAAAAGAGGAGCAGAGGTTCCTGGGACCATCAAGGGAGAAGAGCAGAGAGCGGGACCCTACCCAGAGAAGCAGTGATGCCTGAGATGCAGGCAGAGACAATGACATGGAGAGATGGAGCAGCTGGGGACTTTAGACCCAGAGAGTGAGAGGAGTTGTGTGCTGACGACTGGGGGGCAGGCTTGTAGTGTATACACTTCGGTAGGTTGATGATGCATGGAGGGAATTGTAACCATGGCCATGAAACAATATACAATAGGATGAATGTAAAACTAATGTTCGCCCATGTAAACGATCACACAATTCACAATAAATCAAAACAAAACAAAAAGAGGTAGTCAACTATACTTTGTTTTATCCAAGTATTATTGTTATGA